ACCCGCTCGTGGGCCGTGGCACGTGTCTTTAGCGTTCTCAGGTCGATGATTGGTGATACTTGTAGGAAAAGCAACGTGCGAATTTTGTCAAGGGGCTTTAGTTGTGCTTCGGGGAGAAAAACGGAAGAAACCGGCAAAAGCTTGTTAACTCACTCAAATCACGAGTCTGCCGTGATCCAAAAAAAACACACACACACGTTGAGCGGCACGAACTATGTCTTCTTTAGACAAGGTGATTTGAATCAAATATGCCTGATCTAACAGGTTAAAAATAAAATCATGATTTTGTCGCATGTTTGTTCGGAGGCACGCCCAAAGTTTAAATAAAGCGCGCCAGCCGAGGCGTTCGCTGTGGCACGGTACTTGTGGCGCCATCTGTCGGGTCTAACATGAAGCACCGTTTTACAAATAGGACGGCGGGATGTTCAAAATGGAGCGACATGTCGCCACCCCAACCTCATGGAGTGTGTAAAACGTACATCGAGGCCACATTTGTAGTAATTGTTGTATTTTCGCTGTTCAAGCCGGTGCCATCGTTAGTGTGCGGATAAAAACCGGGCTTAAACCCCAAGGACCGCGTTGTACGTTTAAGCGACAATCTCAAAACTAGAGGAGCTGAAATCTAATAGATTACGATACATTGACGAATATACGTACATGGAAAATTCTATAAAAGTTGAATGTGAAAGTTTACCAGCACTTCACAGTCCGATACAGAAAGTGAGACAAAAATGAGTTTGCTTCCAAATTGAATGTGCATAAATAGGCAGTTATGTGCACATTGAGCAGCATGCAATGAGCAGAAATGAAGAGAACAAGATAGCAGCCGAGACCCACAAATCATGAAACATATTTCATATACACCTTTTATTTAAATATATATATATATATATATATATATATATATATATATTATCTAGAGGGAAATGTGGCGGTACGCACAATTCAGAGGAGCACCATTGCCTTTATTCTTGTTGCTGGTTAGGTCCCCGTCCGTGCAGCTCGTTCAGAGAAATCAATGTGCTTATTACACACCCCAAGATTCAGAACAGACACATGGATTTTCAGGTTTAAACTGAATGGTTTTCTAACTCTGGGTAATAAAAATTCCACCCCATTTAAACTGTCCTCTCTAAGCATACAACAGGCACCAAACTAGTTATCGAGTTTTGCAAACATGAGTCTTCCTCCCACGCCTTAAATCACATTCCACTGTAATTCCGTATTATTAAGTTGTTCTCCCATGCAAAGTCTTTACAAATTCCACCCAATCTACACATCACTGGATGGTTTTCCGAACCCTGAGACAAACCGAGACCTCCCAAAAGTTGGCTTCATCGGAGTCATGACACTAACCCTTTCTCTTGGGTTTCAGCTTCCCTGGAATGTATCTTGTGGCACAAATAGGCAAACATTCAGTTGCACACATTGGTCCTATCATGCTGCTCGTAAGGCTCTACCTCTAAAGTTGTCTTCACGTAAATGAAAATCTGTCGTTTTCTCCAGACAGCAGCTTCTCTGCACTGCTCCTTACAGCACCGATGAACAAATGCTGAGTTGTGTGTGTCACTGCTATACAGCACACAGTGAAGCTCACTGAGCTGTGTGCAGTGAGCTATGATGTGCTCTCCATTACTTATTTCTTCCTGTCCTTCAGCTTTGAACCATGTCATCACCATGTCAGCCTACTGCGCACTTTTACTTTCAATAATCTGCTTCCACTTTATCTTCTCTTGATGACTTGCTTCCAGTGCATCTTCTGCCATTACCTGATTCCAGGAATAGGACAGAGAGAATAGGACCAATACTGCGTGGTCAAAACAAGGGGACGCAGCATTTATAGCGAAGAATACCAATGCTCCTGACGAATGAGGCATTAGTTGGGACTTGTGCTGAAATGTGGGCAAACAGTCATTCACTCGAGACATAAAATATGGAAGACGGGCTGGAAAAGAGGATTACGTCGAGGCGCCCAATGTGCCAAGTGGTTATGTAGGCAAGCCTGGCACTAATGTTGAAATGTGTCATACCTGTAAGTGCACTTGCCCCTGTGGAGCCCATACATACCAATCTTGCCGCGCTAAGTAGCAATGCAGTTCCGAATCCTCTAACTAGAGATATTGATGTCACGTCCAGGGTGTCTAGCAAATTATTACCTTGTATTTCCCTGACAATTTCAGGTGAAATTCCCTGACCACTCTAGAGGCGGTTAAATATATAAGACCATTATAACACAAGGCATTGAGCATTGGGCACAGTGAGGATCATTTTGCACAGGCTTAAACCAACTTGCATATTCCGAAATATTCGGGTTCGTCCAGCCTGGATCAAACAAGCACTTTCTCGCCACCGACATCGCCAGCGATGAGGCCACTTCCGGAATGGAAACACGATGAAAACACGACACTCAACCACACACGTAAATAATTGAATGGCAGCATGGCCGCATGGCCGCCAGATGCACACTTTCGGATACTTTCGGCTTGGGGCTTGGATTGGATTGGGGTCTGTGGCTTTCCGATTTGTTACAAAATCTAGTAGCTATAACTGGATCTAGCCTAGTGTCGAGCCCTCAATCCACACCGATCCAATCCAAGGCTTGGGCTGGATTTGTCGGCTGTTCTCTTTGCATTGGCTAGCACACTCTACGTCGGCTAAGCAGAGCCCGCGCTTTGCTCTAAGGAGAAATTATGGCCCATTTTTCTGCCCCTCAGCCCTCAAGTCTTTCCTCAGGGCGCTCGATGGCGTTTCCGGCTCATTTTCCCCGACTGGGCTCACTTTTTGACAATATCCCTGACAATTCCCTGATTTTTCCCGGTAATAAAAATTTTCCTGACAATTCCTGGTTTTCCCGGTCGCTAGACACCCTGCACGTCGCAGGGCCTGGTACACTACCCTATGTGGAGCACTCCAGAGGTTGTACGCAAAATGGTGCCTTGCATGATGGCACAAGCATGCATCACTGGGTCAGACAATTTCTCAGTCGCGAGGAATGCGCTGATTTGCTTTCATCCATAGGCGTAGACTTCGGGGGGGCATCAAAGCTCGTGCCCCCCCCCCCCCCCCCCCCCCCCCCCCGGCGAGATCCGAGGGGGGCAGAGCCCCCCCCAGACTCGGGCCATGATCCTTACCGAGACGCTGCTTACGTGCCATGTAACGAGCTTCGAGTAGTGGCATGTAAACAAAATAACGCCCACATTGCCTTTATTGACAAAATACATGGGAAATGGAATGCCAGCGTGCTTTCGTTAGCTTCAATCTGCAGTTCTGGCGAAAAGGTAAGGCGCAGCAGCACCCCCCCCCCCCCCCAGAACTTCTCAGCCTGCCCCCCCCCCGGGAAAATGGAAAGTCTACGCCGCTGCCTCCATCCGTATATTAATCTTGGGACATCCATCCACGGTAGAGTTCGAATCTTTCGGACACCCATGCCTCGCACAGCGGGGCAAGCAAGGCAGTGAGCAAGGCTAGCACCAAGCATAAGGACAGACAGTCAGTTCATGTATGCCATACTCATAATCAATAGTGGTCAGGTAGCTTCATGAAAACATTGTGAAATTAAGCTCTCAAGATTCTGGGTAGAACTGGAGCTCTAAATAGCTCACAAATTCAAAGTAGGTTTCGATTATAATGCAACTAAATGCAAAGGTGCAAGCGAGCTGGACAAGAATCTTGTCCAGCTAGCTTGCACCTTTGCATTCAGTTGCATTATAATCATAACCTTAAATTGCAAGCTTCACCCCTGTTGGTGTTAGACTGGTGGCAGCTGATAAAACCCGTTTGCTCTACCGACGTCTAACCCCTGGTTAACTCAGTTGGTAGAGCACTCCACCTGTAATGGAGAGGTCCCGGGTTCGATACCCGGGCCAGGCGGATTTTTTCGGTCACGCACCTGTCACCTAGCTGTGTTTGGAGATTTGTGTTTGTCCTTTGCCCCTCTTGTTCCCCTTCTCCAGGGATTATTTTCGTCGTTTTTCGTCAAAGTAGGTGTTCTGCAAAAAATAAAACCGACCAGTGCAACATATGCCGCAGCCTTGACTGTTTCATGTTGTTCGAACACAGAAGTGTTGTTATTTCTTGTTTAACAACTTTTTAAATGGACTCAAATGTTGAGTGGTAGACACATAACGTTCTATGGCTTCATGGCTTGTGAAAGTAACGTGAGACAGTATCTGTCCGTCTGCAATTTCGGTTTTCATGTTCCATACTACTTGTAACTGCATTTGCGGTCGAAAGTATTTTCTAAAATTAAGAATTGATTTTCAGGTAGGCCTTCTTTTAGTTCTTATGCCGATTTGCACTGCGTTGTAAACCCAAAAGCTCTATTTCGATTTTACGATAACGAAAGCAGGACATTGAAGACAAACAAACAATACAGTCTGCTGTCTTCAACAGACTGTATTGTCTGTTTGTTTAATGTCCCTCTTTCGTTATCGTAAATTAGAAACCCAACACGCTCAACCATCTACACTATTTCGATGCCCGCAAACAATACATGTTGTAATAACATGGACATGTTTCATGATACCAAAGGCACTGGTGGGGTAGGCGGGGTAAAGGAGGCAAGCTCGCCAGTTCGCATGTACTCTAACCGTTTGTTTTGTTTTACCTCTCAGCTCAGTAATTTCATCTTACGTGGAGACTGTTGCTGACTGCCCATACCGATGTATCAATTCCAGAACTGTTTTACTCGGAGCACTTGCAGCATAGAAACGTAGCATCCACATACGAAATATTCACGCAAAACCAAATCGGCCATACGCGGATTGGATTGGATTAGGTGCTTCATGCGACAACCGCGTACTTCTTGCTGGACAGATAAAAATAATGAAACGTCTAAAAAAAGAACGGGCAAAAAGCCTTTTTTGTTTTTCATTGTTTCTTTGTCGCATAGAGGCTTCTTTTCAAATGGACATTCCTTACCTTGCCTGTTTTTAGTGAAAACTTTTAGTGACCGAAACAACCGAACCGGCAAATCCTTTAATCATTGCAAATGAAGAGAAGTTTCATACTTCATCATACTTTTTATAGATGCTATCGTAGACGTTTTAGTGCTCAGTCAAGAACAACGGTAAACGAAAGCATTCTAACGGCACCAACGACGATCCAAGATAAGACAGTTGCACGAACGAAGTGTCCAGTGCAAGTTGCATGGTACGTTCGATTGGTTCAAGTTCGTTCACCTCGTTCAAGCTTCAGCCTTCAGTGTTTCAGCGTCAGGATTTTGGTCCGTTTGTTTTGATTCCAGTGGCATATAACGTATCTAGCGAACCCCGTTTTGCGACACCGATAAGAGAACCACAAGTCCTTTGGCTGGCTTAGCTTACTCAAGGCAGCTCGCTGCAGCTGACAGCGCACGTTCAACTTGCTCCCTTGCGAATTCACAAACATACCGCTGCTCACCGCCGCACGTTTGTCGCGCATGGATCTCTCTTTTCAGCTGATCAAGTCGTTATGAAAACGCTCGAATATGATTTGTGCCATTTGTGATATTATGGTGACTGTGCGTGCAAGAAGTGTTGAGCGTTGATCGTGGATTCGGCGAGCGGTATCGCATGACAGTGTTCACGTTTTGATGACGGACGCCATTTAAACGTACTAGAAATCGACATCTCTAGACCTGGATGTATGCGGGCAGTTAAAGGCAGCAGTCTATCTATTTAGTATTTGATTAGAAAGCTTATAACAACGACTGAAGATGTTAAAATTTTTAGTTGAGGGCAGAAGGTTCTTAAAGCCTTCTTAAACGGCTGTTCCCGTCCTGTCAGGATGGCCGAGTGGTCTAAGGCGCCAGATTTAAGCTCTGGTCCTCGTAAGAGGGCGTGGGTTCGAACCCCACTTCTGACAAACTTTTTTTTTCTTTTTTTTTTTTCAATTGTAATAAACTTTTAATAAAGACGAATGACGTACATGCAACATCCCAATTCGATTGACTGTTCTTTTTTTTCTCGGCCGATATCTGTTTACATTTTGAGAGCGGTGCTGCACTTCGCTCGTCTCAGTTGAACAAGGTTGCTTAAAAGTTTCGTAAAGGAACATAAATAAAAATTTATATATATATATATATATATATATATATATATATATATAACTTTTTTTTTTATAAAGACGAAAACTTGGGATAGATCGCGTGATCGCAGTTCTTACGCACTTTGTTTCGTGCACAGGCTTCAAGTTGTAGGTCATCCGAATGAGACAAGCTCGTGCTTGGGTTTCGGCATTGCCTCGCCGGCAGGATATTCTCTTGGTAGGAATAAGGAATTCACACGAGACGTCTTTTTTTTTTTTTTCTTCCGGGGTTAGTGTGTGTGTGTGTGTGTGTGTAAGGGGGGGGGGGGGGCGTATTTTTTGCTGTCTACGGAACAAGGCGGTTGTATAGTCATGCGTCCCCATCAAAACATTCCCGCGATATTTTACAATTTATTATACTTACAGATTTTACAGATTTCAAAACAAATGTTGGAGTGAACATTCTTAAGTTTGCAGTTCTAAACGCTTATGTAAAAAGGCCGTCCGGACATTATAATGGCAAGTCTCGATGTATTTCTCGCAGCCCGGACGCAAAACTCTCATGGATGGTGCACCCTCCTTCCGGGGTACATGATGGAATAATACTTTAAAAAAAAAAAAAAGCGAGCTGGTGGTGATTCATGGTAATAAAACCCGAGACTCAGGAATACAGAAGGGGACGTTGTGTTGTGTTCGTCCCCTTCTGTGTGTTCCTGAGTCTCGGGTTTTATTACCATGGTACATGATGGGACATTCAAATGTGGCTATTTTTTATAGCAAGCATTCTAAAAATGAACTTTTTTTTTGTTGGGGGGGAGGGGGGGGGGAGGGGAAGGCAAAGGCAAAGGAAGGGAAAGGGGGCAGGAAGCGACGAACTTTAATTTCAGGCTAAACGGGGTAAATACACTTTCGTTCCAGTATAAAATTTGAATGTTGGGATCGCACCAGTTTTCCTGCGAATATTGTACTTCGTGCATTCTCAGTATATCATTATTTTAGCACCGACTGTCTGTTTTGCATTTAAATAACTAAGGTACATAACTAAGGTCCTACCAAGGTGCAAAGAGTAATAATGACCATGGGCCGGGCGTACTAACCAGCGGGTGCAAGGGGGGGGGGGGGGGGGGGGTGGAGGCAAGGCATGTGTTTTGCCTTCCCTGAAACAGCCGCTACTGGGCAGGGCAAACTCTGGCCGGTGGCGCCCAGGGGATACCAAAGGCACCGCCCCCCGCCCCGGGGGGGGGGGGGGGGGGGGGGGGGGGGGATGGGTTGGTTGGTTCGCCCTTACTCAAAGACAAGTTGGTACGCCACTTGTGGGACAGTGCTGCCATCTGTGAACACATAGGTTAACTAGCAGGTTTGTCCCTAACTTGGCTGACGTTCTTCAACCACTGAGCTCCATGCTTAGCTCGAAGATCCTGTATGCCAAGTATTGCGCAAGTACACACAACAGGCATGGCCCAGTCGCCGTGACCTCAAGAAGGATGTCAGACCCTTCTACGAGTTTCGGCATCAGTTCACGCTGGAAGACGACATCCTGCTGTATACCGCAAGGATCGTCGTGCCCGCGCATTGCCAGCAAGATGCCTTACGTCTTCTACACGAAGGGCACTTTGGAATTGTCAAGACCCAGGCCAGAGCTAAACACTCTTTGTGGTGGTCTGGCATCAGCAGGGATGTTGAAGAGACTGTAAAGAGGTGCCAACGTTGCATCGAGAAGTCAAGCAACAGAAAGATGCCACTACTACCAACGGACTTTTCCGAAAGGCCATGGCAACGGGTGGCTATGAACCTGTTCTATCATCAGAACAAGTGGTGGCTCATCGTTACGGACTATTACTCTAGGTACCCGGAAGTACCACTGTTTAGCAATCTCACCTCTGAAACAGTGATTAGCCACTGTAAGAGCATCTTTGCCCGCCACGGGATACCGGAGGTTGTCGTGTCGGACAACGGTCCTCAGTTCTCGCGCGTGAAAACGTCAGCATTCTCCGCATTTGCTCAAGAGTACGGCTTCCAACATATCACATCTATTCCCCATTACCCGCAAAGCAATGGCCTGGCTGAAGCAGCAGTTAAGATCATCAAAAAGTCGATGGAGAAGACTGGAGACCCATACAAAACACTACTCGCGTACAGGACCACACCACTGAACAATGGGTACAGCCCAGCTGAACGGCTAATGGGAAGAAGACTCCGGTCCACGATCCCAACAGCCAAGAAGATGCTGGTTCCATCAACTCCAGACATGGCACGGCTACGAAAATATGAAGAAGAGCTTCGCGTGAAACAATGCAAGGCCTATGATCGCCGACACCGAGTACCAGACCTTGCCGACATTGTCGACGGCTGAGAAGTCTGGATCGTTGACCTGGAAAGAAGAGGAACAGTACACCGTCGCACTTCTGAGCCAAGATCTTACATCGTCGACACACAAGAAGGTCCAGTCAGGAGAAACAGAACACATCTAATCCCTTGTTCACCTTCTCCTGCCTCGCCGAACCAATCGAAACCGTCAACAAGTGCGTCAGACGACGATGGATCGGAACAATGTCAAACAAGATGTGGGGACAACTCGCACCTACACAGCAGAGGTAACCGGTGTCTGAAAACACCACAGCGGACCTTATGGCTATCCCATAAAAAAAGGGGGGGGGGGGGGGGGGGTGAATGTGGGATAGTGCTGCCATCTGTGAACACATAGGTTAACTAGCAGATTTGCCCAAGACGCTGGCAACACGGGTATGAATAAACGTTCTTCAAACTTGGCTACCTAAGCGTCGCACGTGTGTCTGTCTTGCTCCCGTAAGTCGCCTCTCGCTACACAACACGACACCACTGATAATGACCATATTACTTTATTGGCACAAACGTAGGTGCCTTTGACAGTAAGAGGAGTGATAATAATAATAATAATAATAATAATAATAATAATAAAAACAAAAAACGTTCTTGGCCCAGGCGAACCGTGACGTAGGTGCAAGTGCGGGTCTCAAAAGCACTGCAGTTTTGTTCAATGCTGTACAACCAGGTTTTTTTTTTTTTCTTTTTATACATAATTCATAGCATAGGCAGCATCAACATTGGTCGACCGCATTCATTACGGGCGGGGAAAATCGGTGCTCGAACTAGTTTGTAGGTGTGCCTATTAAAATTAAAATTATTGCTAAACAAATAAAAAAAAAAGCAAAGACCTAGAGGGTGATAAGATAACTGTAGTCTTAAAAGTACAGTGCAAGCTCCTCACACCCCTTTCCACTTTAGCAGAGCGAAGACTGGAGAGGAGGCAACCTTCTCTTCAGCGTTAGCTCTGCAAAGGAGAGAGAGGCGGGAGAAGCTGTTTTCGGTGAATATCGATAAGCCCGGAAAAATACCCACCAAGTTAATTTCATCAAAATCTGAAGAAAAAAAAAAGGGGGGGGGGGGGACGAAAAACCCCCAATTAGAGCGCTGTCCGTCGATGAGACAAACAGAAGCTTCACGGGACAAACATTTGTATCGGCAATTTTATTTCGTGCTAGCGCGGAACTGTCCGCGAGGCTGCTTCAATGTTTTTCGGAACCACGCCCTTTATTTTGTTTCCATCTCTTATCGGTACCCGGGACGTTTTTTTGGAGAATTCGTGTTTCACGCATGCGTGTTGCATTCCTGATGGTTCAAGATTCCAATTCTCGTGTTCGGTTTTCTTCGAAGTAGGCCCCCCGGTAAACACCGAAAATTGACAGCGAAAATTGACACCCCGAATCCGTAGGAAAAAAATAAATAAACCCCGAAAAAGCACCTCCGAATTTGAAGGGACGGAAACCTATTGGGTGATATAATTTGGGCATATTTATGTGAGCCGAAGATGAGATGTAATCGGAGATAAAGAATAAAAGCGTCGTGTAATCTAGCCAGTGTACTGAACGTTCTGTGTTGAAACCAACGTTACTAAAACCCTCAGTTGGGGAACTCGCCCTTGAAACTCGGGCCGCTGGCGTCCACCGAGACCGAGCTATATACGGTAACAGCGAATGACGTACTGTCAGTTATGTTTTGTCTTCGCATTAAGCATTCACAGTACTCAGAAGTTCCACAATATTTTGTTACATTGTTCGTGATGTGTTGGTACGATCTAGTGGTAGCTCCGTTAAGTGCGCTTCTTGCCGCGCATGTGTGCGCTGCGGCGAAGAAGCACCGGCGCAAATTAGACCTCTCGATTTTGATAATCTCCCCTAGCCGCAGCGCAGCCACGTGCTTATTAAAGAAAAGAAAACGTCTCTCTTCTAAAGCAGAAGGATTCAAAATGAAACTTGATGAATGCTGACTCGACATCTCAACTTTTCAGGAGTTTTTTTTTTTAGTAAGAACTGCGATCTCTTGACACGTTGCTCGCATCATGAGTCGCGATTTTGTTTCATTAAAATATAAATTTAGATATTGGCGATTGGGTTATACCTTGGATACATTTCTGGAGTAACTTGAACAACCCTGCTGGTGATAATGCCCATGCAGCTGGTACGTGCGCGCTCTCTAAGGTTCACACCTCAAGACTAAAAGGGAAACTTTGATCCTGGTATTTATGACTCAAACTTTAGAGCTGCAGCAGTCCGCAAGACGACTCCGTTCGGTGAGTCGCAGACGACGACGCACGTATTCACAGAAATGCACACACGCAGGTGTGCGAGTAATGACCCTGGGAAATGCAGAGGGCTTATAAGCTGGTGTGGTCCTTCCAAATTGGGTTTCCCAGGAATAATATGATCGCACTTATTCTTAAAGTTCGACTCACCTGTCTTGGCATCTTGAAACATAAACAGTTGTGACTTCTTTCGGGGTGATGAACTCCGCCTCTATTCACGAAGGATACGAAAGAAGCTTAGACCGATTGAAGCTGCAAGAAGGACGTACAATTGTACGGCTTCGCTCAGAGCCTTTGATGGAGGCTACTTGTACCAAGATATGGCACGTGCAACTTCATGATGGATCTGTGGTAACGAGCATTCCCGTATAAGCTCGCAAGTGAGAGTCGGACGATTCGTGCTGTAAGCAAAAGTAATTTTAATATAAAATTTACAAAAAATTGTGACACGATTTCCCGCGAAGGCACCAAATCCAAAGCGAGTCTGAAGTGTCCTCAGGTTTTGGACGGCTGTTGGTTCAAGCTTATTCCGCGAAGGCTATGGGCTTGCCAGGCTGGCTCGCATCACAAACACCGTCTTGCACAGCGCAGAAGCTTCCTTGAATTGAAACAAAAGCGATTTTGGTGAGAACTTTGACTTTTAGAAGGCTGAAGAACGGTTCTGTAGAAGCACTTATACATAGATGCATTGACATCATACCATCGGCCACTGTGGCGGCCTTTCTGTTGCGTGCGCACCTTCATCATACTGAAGTAGGAATGACCATTAGCATGGCAAATGACGTCACGATCAAATTAAGTATACAGAATTGCATTAACGTCACATCAGCTGCGATATTGATGGCCTTGTTGTTGAGCGTACCTTCTGCAAGATACGTTTCGCAATACCGAAAACAAAACTGAAAACATGAACAAGCAGGAATGACCACCATCATGATACGACGGCGTCACGTGCAAGCCCTGTACAAAGAATTGAACTCTTGTGCTGTGATTTTATGTCCTTGTGTTGAGGCGCTTTTGTTGAAATGAACGATGTACTAACTAGCCCATCTTTCACTATTGATGCAATTGAACTTCGTCTTCATGTTTTGCTTGCTTCCGCTTTGCCGTTTCAGGCGATGGGGTGATGATGACTCGAAGCCTGACAGTCCCTCACGTATGCTTCGCGGAGTTCGGTTCTTCAGCAAGGACGCACTCGCTCTAGCTGGGCTCCTCCGAAAAACTGCAGTTTTTTTTTTCTTCAGAGGGGACACATTAGCCCAGCCGGGCTCCTGTAGTTCTTCAGCGGGCTGAATTACTGCAACACTTCCGTTCTTCAGTGGGGCGCACTAGCCCTAGCTGGGCTCTTGAAGTTCTTCGGCTGGTTGAAGAACTGCAGTTTTTCAGCTGAGACGCTCTGGCCTTAGCTGGGCTCCGGGTTCGCCGAGTACTGTTCGTAGACGTCTGCCGCTGCGTCCCTGTTGGCCTCGTTGGGGCCAGGTGGCCTAAGCCCCGCTTGAAAGTAGACGTAGCGGCTGCTCCAGAGCAGCGCCAGGAGCCAGACGCTGGCCAGGCCTCCCACTGCAGACACGGACGCCGTCACGTAGAACAGGCCCTTTACTGTCCCACGGACCTGCGTGCATTGTGAGGCCATCAGAGGACGGTCGAAACTGGTTAGAACTATGAGCTGGAGCATGGAGACGTTCTTTCGAGTGCTCCGGGGCAAATAAGAGAACGAAGCATCGTGCCTCAAAATGGTGCGAATGTCATCCGGCTTCACGAAAGTTTAGAAGGCTTTCGGAACGGTTCCTCTCGGAGAACCGAGAGTTCGGCTGCTATTGCGACTATGTGCACACCCCTGGGGAAGCGCTGGTTTGCAGACTCTATAGACCGACACGCTGTTTCCAAACAAGCCCTCGTTTGCCCACACCAGGTGTGGGCACTGCGCGTGCGCAGAAACCGAATTCGCGTGAAGTGAAGCGTCTGCGTATGCGCACTGCCGTCGACAGCGCCACCGCAGCTGTGTGACGTCATGGCCACATGACGTCACGGCCGTGTGTTGGTCTATAAAAGACTTTGTTTAAGCGGACACATCTAGATGGAGGCGCGCGGTATGCTCTGTTTTTAACGAGGTAGAAGGGCTTAGCGCGACAAACTAAGCCCTTCCCGTTTACTAGGCAAAAGTTACCTCCACTTGGCTGCTGCCATGTTGTACATTGTTGACGACTAGACACTTGACCGTATCAAATCCTGAGGCTTTTACGCAAAACTGAGCGAGATCTGTATCGCGATCGCTGTAAAAAAACACGATAAACTATTTTTTTTTTTCAATACTGTTAGCCCCAGAGATCAGTGTCTAGCTCCGATAAAATTCCAAAATACAGCACCGCGGCTGACGGCATCTAGCGGAGGCATTGCGAAGCTGCCCGAGTTTTTGTCGTGAAAGCACCTTTTGGACTTAAAACAAACGAAACATAACTCATCTCGTCGGTACTGTTATTAAATATCAGGAAGCCATTATTTCTGCGCGGTAATTCGTTAAAATCTAGACGTAAAATGTAAGGTCACGTGTCTAGTGATCAAAAAAGTGACACCCCAATGGGCAGCAGCCAATCGGGGGTCACTTTCAGCTGCCAGTTTATCGCTCTAAGGCCCTCTCCTCGTTGTCTGTTTTACACTATAGGTTGGTTCAGACACCCGTGTTTGACTATACTATAGTGTTGGTTCAGATACCCGTGTCTGACTATACCAACTAAAGCCCCTCAATGTGTTTTCGTTGGTCTTGCATGCAAGTAGCGTCAAATGCGCCAGTGCACGAGGCCCGCGTCTGGAGCGGCCCTTGGAAGCGAATGGCGGCGCAGCACTGAAACGAGTCGAGGGGCTTTAGGACGAACTATAGACTTTTACAAAATTCGCCTCTTGCGCGCTCGCATCTTTGTCTGCTGGTCTGTGGAACGCCTTGTGAACATGCACTGTTGCTCTGTTGTGCGGTATCAGACGCTGCGCATGCGTCCATAGCTCAGCTCAGTCGCGAGCAACGTTACTAAAACCACTCAGTTGGGAAACTGCCATAGAGCCTGCTTTAAAAAAGTGGCCCCAATCCGTACTCGAGAACCGAGCTAAAGGCGAACACAACGCCGCCATTTCTCCCGCAGCGTCCACTCCGGGAACTGCTCGGCTGCACGTCGAGTCGGGCAAGGGCCGGTGGTGCCATCTCGCAGGGACATCTCGCAGTAGCTATGTGAAGCAACTTTAATGTTTCAACTCGTCGCTAAAGGGTGGCGCTATTATCGTATTTAGCTCGGTCTCGGTAGACGCCAGCGGCCCCGGTTTGAAGGGTGAGTTTCCCAACTGAGAGTTTTAGTACCGTTGGTCGCGAGTGTGTCCTGCCGCAGCCAAAGCTGTTATCCGACGGAGCCACTCAAGTAGCGCCAAAAAGTGCTTCATCACGGCGCTCTTTGTCTCTCTGGGTTTGCTATCAGCGACTTAAGGCCGGTTCTCACATGCAGCGAAGCGCTGATGTAGCGCTCCTCACGTGTCGTCAGCTACTTATCGTCTGCCATGAGCAACAGTTTTGACGGTGCGATACAAAGCTGGTGAACGCTACCGTCAGCACGTGCTTAGCGCGAGGTTAGCGCTATGCTTGTAGCGCTCCGCTGCATGTGTGAACAGGCCTTTAACCAATCACGCACTGTGAACGCGCCGCGATCCTGCGCTTGTTTTTAGCCGTAACTGGTTTAGCCGGAGATGATAGCAGAACCCACGGAGACAACGAGTGCCGTGACGAGGCAAGTTTCGGCGCGGCTCTGTTGGCACCATCGGATCACAGTCTCGGCTACGGTGGGACTTAAAGTGTAAGTGAGTACGCTCGAGACATGTTTAGTAGCGTCTAGCCTGTGGGAGCCTCTTTCCACGGACCGCTCTTTGCCGTTCACGCGCTCATACGTGTGTCGCTGTCGCCGCCAGACGATAAGACGATAAGCTCCGGAATGTATATTTCTGTATATAGGGTGTGGAATAAACCATCGCATCAAATATGTAGCTTGTGCTGTGGGGGTCGTTTATAAAATACCCTTTTCATGTGGGAAAGTGTATATTGGGCAGACGGGCAGATGTATTAATGTTCGAGCTCGGGAGCATTATCTGTCTTTGAGGTCTTCACCTTCGGGTCACCTAGCCATTCATTGTGATAGGTGTGGTTGTTCCCCTCGGTTATGCGACATTGAAATTTTGGCTAAACATTCACAAAAAATGGCAAGGGAAATCCATGAAGCGTTTTACATTCGACAACACGGTCCCGATCTTTGCGTCAGTTCAGAGTCAGTGACGTTATACAGTGAAGAGTTCGAGTTTCTTCGGAGTTTAGGCACGTCTCTTTAACACTTTCTTTCTGCTTCCATGGGAGTGATCCTATAACCACAGGCGCGTGCCTACATGCAGCCAGGGAAGGGTTCCGACATACCAAGAGTCCGCGTGCAAGACAGGTACGCACAGAGCATTAGGGCTCGCGCTGTGGTTTTTGGCTTTTTTTAATTTGTTTTTTTTAATTTGTTTTTTTTTTTTGTTGTAATGGTATATAATGTTTAGTTTGTGTAAAAAATTCCTCAGATGGCATATGACAGAGAGGATATCCTACATGCTGGATTCTTCTTCTTTTATTTTTCATTTCTTGTTTTCTTATGTTGAAATGTTTTAAAAAGATGAGAAAGAAAGTAAGTCGTGAGTCAGCGCTGTGTCTGTGTCCCTCCTTCTACTTGTCCTTGTGTTTGTTTGCGCTGTTTTATTTCTATGTTTACAATGCATATTTCTGCTTCCGGAAGGGCTGGATGGATGTCGCGTACCTGGGCACAGTTGACTCCGGCGTAGCGGTACAGCCTGCTGTCGTTCATCGTGCACAGGCAGTGCTGGCCCTGGTCGTGGCAGTCCGAGTACCGGTCGATGTACAGCAGCACGTGCAGCACCAGGAACGAGGCGGCCACGAAGCACAGGATCCCGCTCAGGCTGCTCAGGGCGAAGCTCACGGCCTGCGAGTGAAGCACAGGCAGCACCATGACACCACGCACGCGTAGTCCGCGGTCTACCCGCGCAGGCGACACTCGACGCGCCAGGGTAAAGTCACGTGGTATTCTGGACCAAGTGGCGACAACAGACACGTATGACGAAGTTAACTCGCGGGAAGAACACGACGTCTTTTAGTTCATGCTGCTTCTATATACGGTGCCAGTCGATTCCTAAAGTTGTCACGGTGGAGGTCGTGGCAAAAAGTATCACTCCTTCTAAGAAGCACGATGATTTGTGACATACATGTATGTCTGGAGACTTTGTCAGGAGTGCGGGAGAAACAATTAAATTATGGTTAGCATTTTCTTACGCTTCTAAAGTATATTACGACTTACACTTTCGCAACGTCAAGTCTTTGCTCACAGCAGGTGCTGTGAACTGTTGATGTAGTCCCCAGGGCTAGGCAAGTTAACCTACCTTTACGTCTTTGTGACTTGGCACAGCTATGACAGTACCGAGGCTCCAGGGTGTCAAAACAGCCGTAGCCGTTTATTCTCATTAAAGGCAAACAGACCGGGGTCATTCCTTTTAGTCGGCATTGAGAGCGGAATAGCGCTGGAATGCGTGCATTGAATGAACTTCCGACCGACTCACCTTAAGCACAAATATGGGCTTTCGGTTCGACTGACTCTTGTAGTGACTGTTGCTGTACACCGTGATGATGGCCACGATGCCCGAAGACAGCAACTGCGCATGGGGCAAGGAAAATTTTACATGTATTTCAAATGAGCATGAACAGATGGTGAGACGGTCACTGCCCGCCCATCCGACACTCGCAAAGCAAAACGTGTATCTTTAAATCTCTCGAAGCAAGTTTATAATCAACGTTGTACTGAAACAACAGGTGATCAGCTGGTGACAATTCATCGTTAAAAAATCTCGAGACTAAAGAAAACAAAAAGAAGGGGACAACACTCATAGACACTCAAATTAAAGATCTGTGTGTGGTGCCTTTTTTTTTTTTTTTTTCCTTCAATCTTAGGGTTTTTCAGAGATTAAAGGGGCGTGAAACGATATTTCATCTTTTTCTTTCTTAGCTTTCCTCCTCAACTCACAAATCGTGCACTGTACCAAACAGTTCAAGAAGACGGAAAAGTAGGACTCCCCTCATGCTCGAGCCCTCGTTTGAGTACCCGGACACGGTCATTCTGCTCCTAGAAGATTAGCCCGTCGCTCGAAACTGGAACAAAAGTTGCTTTCCCTACCCCGTTCACCACTAAGCTGAGAGTGCTGTGGAAGCTACGTGCTCGTTGGGCCAGCCAAACGTTTGCCACGTGATCACGATCCTTCGCGCATACCCACGAGCAGACAATGAGGTCAAGTGATGAAAAAGAGGCGGCTGATTGGTCCGGTAATGCATAGCTTCCACCGCACTGTCAGCGTAGGGGTAAAGGGAATAAGTAAGGTCCGGTGTCGTGTGACGTGCGTTTGGGCGTGCTTTGGGTACCGCGGATGTATCACATTGAAAAGGCAGAAAGCTTACGAAGGGAAGGAGGTACGAAATAGTCTGCTGTGTTTTCAAAGTTTCGTACCGAAAATCGGGCTTTTGACATTCTGCCTTCTTTTGGCCCACCAAACGATATGCTATTAGTAAAATGCCAATCTAAATTCATTTATCCCAGACGAAAATTCGTTTCATGGGCCCTTTAACGTTCTACGTTCTCAAAAGCCTCCAGGCCGTCATGCATCCGGAGCAAGCCTAAGAGCTTAATCAGTCGAAGCAACGAGGATGTTCATCGGTACCATATGCTCCAATGGTCACCTGGTCTCAGTGGCAGAAGGGGTCCGCACCGTCTGCTACATGTATCCTGCCCATGCGCATTCCCCACAGCTCTTGTAAGCAAGCGTGCTTGTTTATGAGCAGTGCCCTCCCTTTGTATACCGTGTACTTACTGGTGCTGCGGCCCACAGGGGACAGTCCCTGGTGGTGAGTGAGCGCAGCTTGAGCATGGTGTGGATAGACAGCGCCGTGAGGCCCACTCCAGTCGCCAGCTGCACCAGGGCCAGGACTAGTGCCACAGTCGAACACTTCATGGTCATCGACACCTTCCGGGGGAGCACTGCAACATCGTTCTCGAAGGCGTCCTCCTGTATGATTACAAAACATACAACAGAGGTCTTTTTCCGCAACCTCAGAAGGTCACACATGTGTGTTGCACCGCATGACACTCGGAACACCAATCACTGGTCTTCCTTTAATCCGTCCAGACGATTAGAAAGCCGAGAGTTATCATGCCCCAATGGTCACGCGGTTTCAGTTACAAAGAAGCTGTCCGCTTCTTTTGCCACTGGGTCGGTCTGCATGGCTATCGGAGCATGCTGCCGATCGGTCTTGTACCTACAGTCGGCGAAAGGCTAAAAGGGGAAGCTTCTCCCGCCTCCTTTCACGCGTTAGCAGAGCGAAGGCTAGAAACGAGGCGACCTCTCCAGCGTTCGATCTGCTAAAGTGGAAATAGGTGGGAGGAGCTTACCCTTAACCTGTCACCAACTGGTCACCTAGACCCGCGCTCACACTGCTGTGCTAATACATAATTAAAAAAGCAGCCTGCTGACACTCTCTGCAGACAGTTTCGAAGCGCACAAAAGTACGAAGAAAACATGCTTCGAACATGCTCGAGGCGTACACTGTCCGTAGGTAATTCTGTCACCATGTCTACAGTGAACACCATATGACTTTTTAGGACACACAAGGCAGGGCGAGTCCCGAGAATCTCCTCGGCGCTCAGTGGCCAATGGGATTGCGTCATTCCATGGTGATAACCAATCACGAAGCAAGGAGCGTGAACATGTCAATCCAGACCCTGCGTCTCTTAAGCCGACAGTGACTGTATCGCGCTTTGTTTGAACGTGTGGAGTCACTGCCAGATTAAGGATCGCAGGGTGCGGCGAGCTCCGAGCTTATTCTTGGCCACTTTTCGTGGATCGTTTGCACGCTTCCACAACGCTCTCCGCAACTCTCAACGAGATACAGAACTCTGCGGAAGGAGCTAGTGGCGTGTTCGTTGCGGAGAGCGTATGCAGGGGCGGTGGAAATTATCTTAGAAAAGTTTGTATTGACTGACCAGTTCGAAGGAAGACCGATGATTGGTTGCCCGAGTGCGTTGCGGCGCAGTATCCACTCGGGGACTTTTGGGAGCGAGAAGCTTCGAATACAAGATCTGTCGTTCCCAAGATTAGAAAGCAGCGTGGGTCCGCTGTGCTTCTCATCCATAATTCAGGGGGGATCAAGTCGCGTGACCCGGGGTACTTACCTCATGGTGCGTGGGTTCTCCCCTGCTTTGGCTCGTCGCCGAAAGTCCTAGGCTAGGCCGTAAGATTCCAATTAGGAAGGCGATCGACATGTTCTCACCTAAAGCAGACACAAATAATAACCTCTCTCCTTTTTTTCTTTTTTTTAAGTAGCAGGTTTTTTCGAACGTGCATGGTCTGCAGCCAGACGCAAAACGTAGTCGTATGCGGACGTTCATATAGACCATCCGAATAATCGCCTTCGAGGCACTGCGGTCTTGGTCTACGGGGTCTGTTGAACGTGTTTTGGGCATGCGCAGTAGCTGTCTTCTGCGCCACCGCGCTCATCTGTCCACAGCATGGGGACTCCGCATTGTTTTGTCTGGGTGGTTTAGTTTTGGAAAAATGTTTCGTTGGGGAACGTTACTTATAAGTTTCTGGTGACGTCTGCGCAACTATACATGTGTGCCATCAGGGCGCGTATTTCGCACACGCCGAGTGCACTACAGCCCACGGAAGGGGCGCTGCGAAGGATGATTGGTATCTGTTAGATCCTCAAAAAAAGCTTTCTGGACCTGTCAGTTGTGCGGGTCCAAACGTCTTACGGTCTCACAGCTTAGTCATGGATCGTCAACCACAACCGGGCCGGACGCTTTATGCAATTGCGAAAAGATATAAAACATAAGAGAGAAATGCAACAAGGTCGTTGCGTCATTCCCCGAGTCGATTTTTACGGCTGCATGTTGCCATATGTGGTGCTCGATCAAGAAGTGGATATCCCCTTCGCGCATCTGTTCACCGCAGTGCTCAGGCGGTTTGCTCTCTTAAAATTTAGCCTTTACTCAGGATTCTTCTAGGTATAAAGTTAATTCGGGTTAGTGGGGAGATAATCAGCGCGTAGATACTGTTTACGGAGAAACAGGATAACGTTCTTCACTGCACCAAGTTGGGCACTCCGCTACCACTCCTCTCAGCACCCGGCGAGCACACCTCGTAGTTGGCAGGGCATGATTGAGGAGGGAGCAAGGTCGAGCATCTTCCAATGTTAGATGCGGACCATCTTAGAGCTTTTCCGTTTCCGGCGTCACGATAAACAGCCATTGTTTTGAACGCGGAGATCCCTAAACCCACACGGGCGATCCGAGTATACGTCGTATTCATAAACTTGTTGTTCATAAACAAGCGCGAGGGCAACCGCTCGCGCGCAAGGAGCCTTGTTTTCGCCAAAAAGAACATCTGCGCGCCGATAGTCGGCGCGCCACCCCCATGGGCGCCGTGACGTCCCAAACACCGAGTTGGTTATATACAAATCGGGCCCACGGACGCGTTTTGACAGCCACCACTATATCACGAGAATAGAAACGCTCCCCCCCTCAATATCAACGACCCTCAAAACTCTCTCTCTCTCCCTCCCCGAGCCGATGTTTTGATTAGGTCGTCCTTAGCGCAAGAAAAACGAAAACAAGAAACGGCAGTTTACTTTATTCGAACCGAGAACCCCGGCTGAGTGTAGGGGTTTCGTGGCTCTTTCGGGACCGCCTGCCGGCTCGTGCTGAGGGTTGGCTTCCGACCAAGGGACTTTCCCAGCCCGAAATAGGCTCTTCCCCGACCAGACGCAGAGGCTCGGCATATGGGAGGGGGAGTGGCACCGCGCGCTAAGACGGAAGCCCCCCGCTAATTGCCGCGGCCCCTTCATTCAGGGTGCAGGATTCGCCTCGATCACATCGCGTTTTACGGGAGGGTCTACTGCAGTGCGACGACCTTGTTCGAGCGGCTGGCCTAACCTAACGACGCCCGAGTCCGTGCCAAGGTTCGAGCGCCGACAGCGTCGCGATGTGTGTATATCGAGCGACTCTAACCTTGAGTTGTCGGCGGAAGGGAGTTCGTTTTATGTGGAGTGTGTGATAGAGTGCGTCGCCTCGTTTCCGATTCTCAAGGGCGGAACTATATATCCGCGAGTGTTGCGCGCGCGTGAAACGAGTCGTTTGGGTCTAATTGTTGCGGTGTTGAATTGTGTTTTTTGTCTTTGAGACGACGTAATAAAAGTTAGCGCGTGGAGAACGAGATGTATAGCGATAAAACAAAGATTGATTATGTGATAGGTTAGCGCGAACGTGGCATCGCTGCATTTCTCGATAGAGTGTTTTACTGCCTAGGGTGGTGCTTCGACATTAGTATACTATACTTCACCACAATGCTAAGGGCTGAATACGTGTGAACGCGATGAACCAAAAGAAAACAACAATTTACTTCGTTGTATAAAAAAAAAAATTGTATTCATAAGCACTGTTTTCTGGCACTGAAACCTGACTGTTACTGATTTCTTCGCTTAAACAATTAATGAAAAAAATTACTGTTGGCCAAACCAATTATTCCCCAAGGGGCGCGTGCGTTTTTTACGATTCGGCACAACATTAGCCACGAATAAAATAGACATCCAGGAAACAACAAAAAATTTCCGAATGATTTTGCGAGTGTCCAGTGCTCTTTGGTAGAAACTATCGTTTCTACCAAAGAGTACTGCACACTCGCAAAATCATTCGGAATTTTTTTGTTGTTTCCTGGATGTCTATTTCTGTAAAAGCAATACGAGAGTTTTGTATGTATACATACAAAACTCTCGTATTGCTTTTTGTGAAGACAACGTGACAGAAATGGACAGTTGGGCTAGTTGGTAAACATTCATGATGAAAAACAGCGCGAAGCACAAGGACACAGAGGAGAGAAATACAGCGCCTTGTCCTGTATGTATTTCTCTTCTCTGTGTCCTTGTGTTTCACACTGTTTTTCATCACGGACAACAACAGTGACACCATGTTGTACGTCGCACGATAGTTAGCATCGAGCACGAGTTCTGGTGATCACCTCCACAGAACTCATCAATCCGGTAATCATGAGAAGCCAACCGTCTTCTGACGTTTGACTCAAGGAGTGACTCAACAGCTGACCTGGAACAACTACGTCTCTCGTTGAATGAGTAAATGAGAGTGAAACGAGACATCACACAAATCGTGACCCGCAAAATTACCTATCGTATTTCAATGCTTCTGCGCGCTGCCATTTGTGTCTGCTGGACTGTGGAACGCATTCTGGGCATGCGCAGTGGCTCTCTTCTGCAGAATATTACACCCCGTTCACGCTGCATGGCTGAATGACTCGGCATTTTTTTTTTTTTTTACTCGGGTGATAAGCGATGAAATCGGTGTTTACTTACTCACCGCGCGTGGACGCAGGAGCTTGTTTTCTGAGAGACGACGTCCGCTGTCCGGAGCGGCACGAGGCCTGGAGCCTCGTCTGCTTCCGCCGGACCGGAAAGGCCCGAACCCGGGCTGGGACGGACGGCCCTGGGGCCCAAACCCTGGGCGCAGAAAACGTGCGGCTCGGGCGCCGCGCCCGCCGCGCCGGTGTCGCGCGGGGTGTAGGGCAGCTGCTGCCATCTGGTGATATCGCCCGCAGTCATGTCTACATTAATCGCCAGGTGTGTTTTCACGGCCTTCGGTGTCGCAGTCGGGAGGTGCTCGTTACCGAACCCCGTAGGGATGTAGCTCTCAAGTTTTGGGCAGCGAATAAAATTGGTAATAATTATGTCGAGGTTTTCGCTATGCGTCACGTTGCGTCTTTTCAAACGCTTTGTTAGTTGCCCGTGGACAGACGCCGAGGGACGCTGGCAGACGGCAGTTTGTGACCGTGGAATGATGGCACGCTAGGACGCCGCTTCAAGTCGGTGTTGAGTGGTCGCGTCTCGTAGACGCCAGCAGAGGCTCCTCTTTGTGATCGCGTCTCGTGAACGCTACGGATGCTTTACAGCAGTTGTGCGTGGGCGCCGCTCGCCGAACCCAACTTCAACTTTTCTTTCCTCTTCTTACCTTTACTTCGCTTCGTCGTGACCACAGCAGGGCATGTATGGCCATTTTAGATCATACTGTGTCATTCTCCCCAGCATTGACCTTTGAGGCAAGCTCGTCAACGCCCGCTTCATTGGCTCGGCATATGGGTAAGGCAAGAGAAGGTCAGCAATGACGGCTGTAATCCGGCGCGTGTGCAAAGAGCCTATACCGCCTCCTGGCCGAGGGAAACAGGCCTACAAATGAGTGGAAGCATAGCCTCCTATATACCGACGAAGCCTGGCAGATCGCCACGAGAAGCGTCCGCCGAAATGGAGAAGGTAGAGCGGCAGACAACGGAGGAGAGGAGAGCCACGTGACGGGCGCCCCGCTGCGGCGAGATGCCGAAACAGACTTCTCCCGAGCGAACAAGTGTGTTTCGGGTCTTCGCCGCTGCAAAAGCTGTGCGCTGATGTCCAGGTTCCCCGAAAAATGGCTCTTTGATGCACTTTGCTACCAGATCCTCGTGCTCCAAATCTGCGACCGGGCACCCTATGGCTCCGTCGTTGAATTGCCAGGCTTTGTAAGTATAAAGGAGGCTATAATAAAAAAAAAAAAAAAAAAAGTTCAGGGCAACGGCGAGCTGGTGGGGTTTCAACGTTGGGAAAACCATGAGGCGCCTGCACAAACAACTCTCAAGTTTGAGAAAAAAGTTGGAGAACCAAGGAATGCGACAGTGCTTTAACCTTGGACCTATCTTTATTTATTTCCATATACTTTCATTTCTTCTGAAAAATACATTAGGAGTGGCATAATATGAAAATATCCCTGGTCACAATAAAAAATCTAGATAAGAAATAAGGTCACCTACATACATCATAATAATAAAAAAATTAAAAAAAACACCGGTGCAGTCAAATCTAAAAGAGTCAAAACACAGCGCGCCATTTCTCAAAGTCAAACAAAAATTAGGAGCAGTACGTTAGGGTGACTACATGTCTGCCTGTTTCAGGGTGAAGACATCCTTCGTTGCATTGAGTGGGACAGCGCGCGACATGCTGGCGCACTCAGTGCTTGACTTGTGCGGTAAAATGGCGTCTAAGCATCAGCCGAGGCTACACGCTCGAGCTGAGTCACACCGGTTTGCACGCTAAAAAAAGACGATTGTGCGGAAAAATGGCTCAGATGTCATCAATCAACCAAAAGCGCGTGTTTGTATGAAGGCACTCTAAGCTACGCACGAGCAATAAAACAAAAGCAAAAAGCCCCACAATATTTACGCAGTCGTTAAGAGCTGGTCCAGAAGCAAAGATGTCGAGCTTTCACAATGGTACATGGCCTTCATCGCGAGACATTCTATGTCAGCTTGATTGCGAGAGCCCACGTCACGGTTTAAACGTCAACGGTGTGTTACGAACGCCTAATACTTCGGTGCCTGGAAGAAGGCGTCTGCGACTGGACCGTTTACCGCGTCCTAAAAAGTGGTCCCTCGATTTCCGTCTGATGATGTTATGCGCAAGTTCGTCTGCTTCTTTTGCGGGGGTTGTGGTGACGTCAGAAAGGCGCCGCTCCGATTGGCTCTGATTAAAGGATAGTCGTTAAACCTCTAGGCTGCTTGCTTTGAGGTCTACCCACTATCCTTCAATCAGAGCCAATCAGAGCTCAGCGTATTTGTGACGTCACCACAACCCCCTCAAGAAAAGCAAACCAACTTGCGTTCCGTATACCATGGATTTCATGTTCTCAAGTGTAGCGTTTGTAAAGGTTGCTTAACCTCGGTGCCTCAATTTGCACGGAAATGACACCTTTACAGGGGCAAATACTCTGGTCAATGTAAAAACTTCAAAAATTATCAAATAAAAAAAATGTATTTATGGAATTAGTGATATTTTAATTTCGGGATGTGCCTCGAGTCTCACCCTACAACAATCATCGTTAATGTTACGTTTCTTTAATATGGTGTGCAGAAATCAAAGACTTTCCAAAAGTTGTCTATAGGGCCCAGTGCAACGAGGGATGTCGGGCTGAGAAATTAAACTATAGGTTGCTGAGTTTCTGATTGGTAGTAAATATCATTGTGGCCGTTTGTAATTCTTCCCGGGAGTATTACGATTTATAAGTGTTAGTATCATTTAGTTCGGTTCGGTAGAGACGCAGCACCGCAGAAAGGCAAGTACGCCATACCCCGGGAGGCCCCCCGCGGCGCATCGAATCATGACGTGACAACACTGTGCACACTTGACAAAGAGATGCTGACGACGGTCGGTCAAAATTGAGCTGGTGGCTTCATTTTAAAATGCAGTTATTCGGCTGAAATAAATTTTTCACGGACGTTCGCTGGGAATTTCCGATAGGGGTCGAAAGGATGTCTCGGTTTGGGTTTAACCACGGTGTGTCCATCTCGAGTGCGAAACTGTTTTAGACGTGAAATGAGTGGACAGATATAACTCGGGACCTCCTAAACCGTGTCCACTCATTCTCCTCATAGAGTTGGCGCTGCAAATGTAATATGACATTTGCCTTGCTTGTATTATCTCGAAATTCGAAACGAAAAAAAAAAAAAAAAACTTTTTTTTTTCTTTTTACGTCGGTGTAATTATAAAGACAATTCTTAAAACGGCGAGAAAAGTAGTCTGTATTTTTAGCAGCCAAAATAATGAAAGGTTATGTGAAAAATCGCCTGATTAAAAGTAAGTTCCTTTTATCTGTCAAAGTACTCGTACGTTCGTTATGCGCACTATAGGGAAGGTATACATGCTTGAGTTAGAAGCGACTCCGTCTCCCGATGGCTGCGTTGGCTGGGTAAGAATTAGTAATACTTAGCAAAAAAAAAAAAAAACAGCTAAGACAATTTTATCCGGTTTTATAGATAAGTCCTCAAGTGCAAAAATAACTTCAGATCGTATTTTCTGAATAGAAATGTCTTCGACTTCCTTCTTCCTTCACCAGCCAGTTGTACCATTAATAAAAATCCCCCCCCCCCCCCCCCCCTCCGAATGACAGGATTCTTATTCCATGTGCCTCGTTCACGAGAAAGTTTGTTCACAGCGGAAGGTTTTCACTCATATATGAGAGGAAACGGACGTCCCAACATACTTCGTTCAACTATCAAACTTACTCAAATGTTATTGAACTGCGATTAACGTTACCTAGTTAACAGTAAGGTTCCAAAGATAACTAACTACGGTAAGAATTAATACTAGCGTAAAAATCAATTAGTTACAAGTATAGATTACAGTTAGAAAGTATTATAATTCACAATTTCTATCGCAACTCAAGCGGAGCGACGTTCATGAACCTATCACATGGCGAGGTTTGACCGCCTGTATGTTAGCACAGGCGCTAAACCTCGCAATGTCTTTCCCGGGATCTTTCCCGAGATCTAATGGCTTTTGGAGAAACGGGATCATCTTAGCACCGTTCTAAAGGCTACTACTTCCTTCAACCTACGCCCGCAGACATGTTTGGATAACTAATTGTGTTGCGTGTGTATGTAGACGGCTGGAAGTTAGTCAGCCCTCACCGGCGTTCGGTGTCTCTGCCGTAGATAGAAAATGTAGCTACTTCAGTCCCACTGCTATCCCGTGGTCTTTATCACGCAGTAGTGATACACGACCGCACGTCGGTACGATACCCATCCAGGGGCCCTCACTTCACGAAAAAGTCGGCGACAAATCTGGCGGCCGTGATTGGCCAACTCCGCACTTGACCTTGGCGCCGGCCAATCAGAGCCACCGGATTTCTTGCCGGCTTCTTCGTCAAATGTCCAGATAAGGGCCCCAGATCAAGGGGCAACACTCTAAAAAAAGTCTGTGCGTCTACTTTCACGCACAACACTCGGAGAGCCAATCAGCGCAACTTACGGAGGCAGCTCAGCGAATGACGATGCCGAAACATCTGTTGAGACCAAAAAACGCAGACTGAGTTGTGACATTAAGCAATGCAAGCGTGACGTTTTGCATTGCTTAATGTCACAACTCAGTCTGCGTTTTTTGATCTAAACAGATGTTTCGGCATCGTCATTCGCTGAGCTGCCTCCGTAAGTTGCGCTGATTGGCTCTCCGAGTGTTGTGCGTGAAAGTAGACGCACAGACTTTTTTTAGAGTGCGTGGGGATTGAATCCAGGATTGCTGCAGCCTCTGCAGTGCGAGCTCTCACTCCACGTAATCTGAGCTGCGCTGCGTTAACGCGCTTGGCCATCGATGCCACCATGGTTAGGTTCGTGTATGCGCCGATTTAAATGGGGGGAGGGGAGGGGGGAGGAGGGAAGGGGAGGGGGGAGGGAGGGAGGGGGGAAGGGGAGCAATTGGAACATGCCGGCGTCACCCCGAACTTTTTGAAAACTTCACCTTGGTATTGTGCCAGGTCGAGCATCTGTAAGAGCTCCCTCTAGATGGCGACACGGTGCAACAGAGTGTAAATTGAAGGTGCGTGTCCAAGAAGAGGAAGTCATGGTGCCGCTGTCGGAAAACAATAAAACTGCGAAATGTTTTTGGAAAGGGTAGCGAAGATCTCGGAATTGTTTTATAATATTGTCGTTTGTGTGGCGACTTACCGCAAAGCAGCGCAACCAGCTTTTTATCACCGCTATAATTCTATGCCTTGATTCAAAAAAAAAAAAAAAACACGCACAGAAGTAGGAAGTTATTTATTTGCTCACGTAAGCGTAGGTGCCACAGAACGTTATGCAGTCTGCAGAACAACTGCCTGTGAGACCCGTTAAAGCAATGATGATGCTAATGAATTGCGTTTATTAAAAGGGGCAAAAAATTAATGAAATGAAAGAGAGAGAGAGTGAGAGAGTTTTTTTTTTTTTTCGAACCGAAGCAATCATATCCAAAACGCGCTGGGATTTCTCACCGGAGTGCCTTATATATCTGAAGTTTTGTGGTCAGAAATGGCTAGAGGGCCGGTCAAATATCCTGCGAAACAAATCGAGCGTGTCAAGTCGAGCGATGGCTATCAGTCTTCGAGAGCCATGCCGTTTTTCCATGACAACTGATGCCTAAAAAGGGGTGATTGAAGAGTATTTCTATATCTATAACAGGTGCCCTAATCTGTACGGTGGAGGCCCTACACTCAAAGAAATGCCTGCGCGTCTACTTGCCCGCAAAAAACTCGAAGAGACAATCTCTGCGATCTACGAAATCAGCTCAGTAAATGATGAGGTGGAACATCTGTTTAGACCTCAAAATTAAGTTTGCGCTGTGGCATTACGCGATGCAAGCATGACGCTTTGCATTGCTTAATGCCACAGCGCAGACTTCATTTTGAGGTCTGAACGTATGTTCGGTCTCATCATTCGCTGTGCTGATTTCGTAGTTCGCAGAGATTGGCTCTTTGAGTGTTTTGCGGGCAAGTAGACGCGCAGGCATTTCTTTGAGTCTAATCTACACGGAGGGACCAAGGGACCTGGACATCACCGCCTGGTGCGGTTGGTGAGCGCAGCACCGCCGACCAATCAAAACAGGCGGCGATGTCCCGGTTCCTTGGTCCCGCCGTGTAGGTTAGGACCCCAAAACTACGTTTTTGATTTTTCGTGCTCATGCTCCTAATCAAAATATCGGCAGTAAAACAAAATGCATACTGAGACGGAATATTTTTTTTTATATGGGAAGGCTCTCAACCAAGGATATGTTGCTCCAAACGATTCGACGCTTTTACCTTCCATAGCCCGTGTGTGATCCCCCCGCCCCCAGCCCTCTCCCATCCCCCAACCCTCGCCCTCCGCCCACCTCGGGCCCAGGTGCGCTGTATTATCACTGCCAGCTGAAGAAACATATGACGTCATGACTTATAAGCATCTCATTATCGCCCCCAGCCAATGAGATTAAGGTATTCGCCAATAAGGACGCCAACGAACGAGTCACGAAGTAAACATTTTTAACATATAGAGCCACGTCCCGAGTTCTTAAGCAGCCATTTAGTATATAACTATAAAGTTAGCGCAAACACCCAACATTTAATTCGAAAGCATTAACTGTCCCATGGAGCGAAGCCGGCGTTGTATGTAACCGTCTGTAGCAGCGAAACGGCAGTTAAATTCCCGTTGGCCCAAAGCACAGCAACGCAGATGCGTCGTCACAGAAGCCGTGGAGCCGGCGGTGGGGGGAGCTAAAGTCACTGGATCCTGGGAAAGTAACGCCAAGCTCCGCGTGTGGTCGCCATCTTGGTCCGTGAAATGAGAAATTTCTCCTTGACCCCTCTATTCTTGGTGAGCCGATCGAGATTCGCTGGTGACGGGTAGCTTTATTGAGTCATATTTTGTATACCGAGATTTTGCTAACCACACACCGGCGAAACAAGCGTACACCTTCGTACCCCCACCAGATGTTGTGTCGGTGCTTCGAGGCACTGAAATATAAGTTTACTGTCTTGAAATGCGCAAGAAGAACAATATAATTGTAAGAGATCCGGGGAGATGGGCATGATTAATAAGTTGGTCGCATACGAAGTGCCAAAGGCTCTTATATTGTCGAGGAACGCTTCCAGTACGATGATGCTTTATGGTGACCTTGGCGCGACTGGTTTAGAACGACCCCCTGGAAGCTTCGAAGATTTAAATGGACCAAGATGGCGATTTCCATGGCAACGTAGCGCAATCCTGTCCACAGTGTTGCAAATAAATTTTCTAATTAGGCCGATTAGCCAATGAACTTGCGAGGTTTGGTTCGTCTGTATGCTCTGTTTGTGTCCGGCTAGCGGGTAGGAAAGGAAATGGCGCTACTTTCCCAGGATCCAGTGACTTTAGGGGGAGCGTTCACCGCCGGAGCGCCGCGTGAAAAAAGACGTGCTTGTAGGAATGCTCTGCGTGTAGGAATGCTTTCGCATTCTTACACGTAAGCAGTCCTAAGTGTCTTCTTTAATTTTGTGTTGTTTCTTGTTTGGATGTTAGCGCCTCACTTTGTCAGCGTCGGTCCCTGCTCAAGTAGGGTGCGGAATGTTATCAATGATCCGTTCTTAATGTGGCCTACGCACTCGTGTTCGTGAGTTTTTTCTTTGCCGTCAAGTGCTTTCTACGGGCATTTGACTAGTAACGTTGCCTCGTCACCGACTGTGGATCGTACACACGTTTAGTAGCCTCTGTGTTTTTAGAAGTCTGTGAGTTCACGCTGATCCGCCATGCATGTTTTGCAGCAATCATTTCTGGTCCTTCAATCACTCAGACGAGCGAGAAGAGCCATGCTTCTCAGGCTTCAGCAGCCATTGCCAAAAACAAGTGTGTGTGCGTGTGCGTGTGTGTGTGTGTGTGTCTGTTCTTTTGCACTGCATGGGTTTATCTACTCAGTCAGCAAGAAGGGTGCGATACCGCTTTACTCCCTCTTCATTGGCTGAACCGCTGAAGGGAAGATCGCTGGTTGGTGCTGTGAGTAATAGTTTGCGGAGTCGAGTATCTGCAGAAGCTTGTGAGGGTGTACTTGAAGCAAAGGGAGCAACGAATTCGTGAGCACGACAATATTGTTTCCACTCGTCGAGCACCTGCTGGTGACTGCATGATTCGCACCACATACAGTCGGTGACAGGCAGGTTAAAAGCGCGGTAACTGCTCCACCTCTAGCGCGACCAAATTTCTACCTTCGCTAACACTTCGGCGTACATGTAGCTAGCCAGAGCCGACGGAAATGTCTACTGCCTCCTTAACCTGTCACCGACCTTAGGGCCTCATAGTTAGGCTCGAATTTGCATAACGGGTGATAGCTTCAGAATATTAAAAAAATGATAGTACGATGCATCGTGGTACTTCCCACGACCCCATATGGGTCGTACGGGTATATTTCACCATGCATATGTGACGAGTCAATCGTTAGGCTTTTTTTATCAAATTTTTACCTAATATATAGAGCTGCCGAAACAATTTGTTTTAATTCGTAAGTTTATTGCTATAACTCAACCTACTTCTGCACGACGCCTAAAAAAAGAAGAAAAAAAAAGAAGAAGATTCGAGTAGTTCGCACGTGAGTTCCCCGTTTTATATAAAAAGAGCGTGATCAAAGATCCATCACAGGGCCCCGGCCTGGAAGAATAATACGAAATAATATATTTTAGTTTGTTTCTTGAACTTGCCAATAATGCTTCTTTTTTTCAAAAGAATTGTACTTTATTTCAGCCAATGAGCGGACTTTCTTTCGGCTGCCAAGACAGACTGACGGAAGACCGCCAGGCGTCCACCGACCACTTCGATTTTCCGCCTCTTGGCGGGAAAACGGCTTGAAGTCGGCGCAAATGGAAGAAAGTGCCTAATTTTTGTTTTTGTTTTTTAATGCAGCATTAAACGAGAAAGCAGAGCGCGCATAAATTTGTATCTTTTTTTTTTCTGAAAAAAAAAAATTTAAAACACATAAAGCGTGAAAAGACGGTGAGAGTGCAGGCGAGCTGGTGGTAGCTAATCATGTCGTATTACACCTGAGACTGCGGTGGAAGAAATCGGACGAACTTTTAGTAGAAGGAACAGACACAGAGAACGTCTCAAACTCAGCCAACTGGTTTATTTCTCAAACAGCCTTTAAGTACCCAGGGAACTTTTTCCCAACCACACTCTACAGATAAACTCCTTTGTTGCAGACATTTCAAACCGGATGGATACAAAACAACCCACACATGAGACAAGGACTTAACAATGGGACACTGCGGATCATCGCAGTGACCTTGACAGAGATATGTCCCGAATTATCCCAACAGCCGCGTCAAAGCGCACAAAAAAAACAAAAAAAAAAACACAGGTGGCCCCTAAACCGTGGCGACGCACCCAGACAAAAAGAAATCACAAAACAACACTTTTTTCCTTTTTTTTTCTTTTTCCCCTTTCCTTTCTTTGGGAAAACACACCCAAGGGATCTCGAAATCGCGATCACAAGCACATTTAAAAACAAAAAAGAAAAAAAATTTTTAGATGTATATACACATATACATTGTCTCTCCCCCACCTTCTTCTCGTAAACCGAATGCGTTCGTTCAAAGTCTGAGAAACTTTTTGGAGTTGCGTCCAAGTTGCATCGATAGAACTTATTCTTATTGTTTCTTTAACGACCCTCTTAATGTCATTTCGCTCTTTATGCAGAACTTCTGTCTCTGACCAATGCGCATTACAATTATTGCATTCCTCTATGTGCTTTGCTATTTCGGAGTTCGGCGCATGCGTGCGTACATTTCTCTGGTGTTCTAGTAACCTGTCATTAAGGCATCTTGAAGTTTGTCCCACGTACCTAAATCCACATGTCAACGGAATCTCATATACTACACTCTCTTTGCAAGGAACTGGAGGTTCCCGATGGGCCTTCTGACAGCCCTTGTGGTCCGACAGAAAGGGCGTCAATCAGCTCAATTTTACATCTGAAGAAAAAACTACGTCCACGCCGAACTTTTTTGCGAGAGCCTTTAGGTTGTGGGAAATCCCGTGGAAATACGGGATTACTGCAATCTTCTTTCTTGCTTCCTTTTCCCGTGGTTCGTTGTTAAATTTCAGTTCTAATTGTCTTTTAATGAATTCTTCTTCATAACCTGCAGATTCTAGCCTCCTCCACTGTTCTTTCACAGCACTACTCATAAAATGAGCGCATGATTTACCCAACGCGTTTGTTACTAAGGACTTAACTACCCCTGCTTTAACCGACTTGGCGTGACAACTCTTTCTACTTAACACAGGTTTTCCGGCTTTTTTCCCGTATTCCCAACAAAGACCTTCTTCGACATGTACTCGTAAATCTAGAAACTGCAGGATCCCATTTTCAGGTTTTTCAGTTGTAAACCTAAGCTCCGGAGCTGCTGTTTTTATTATCGATTCCAAAACCTGAGCCTCATTCTCTCGAAAAGCGCAAATAAAAATATCATCCACGTACCTTTTAACAATGCAACTATTCAAGTTATTTTCTTTAAGTGTTTCACTTACGCTACTATCTAAGGTGTTAAGATAGATTTCTGCTAACATCGGAGCCACCGAAGATCCAATGCATACACCATCTCTTTGAACATACTTCTGCCCATTATATTCAACAACTGTTGCTTGAAGGTACAAATCAAGAAGTGAAAGGAAACTGTCGACGGCGATGCCCGTCCTGGACTGAAAGTTTACCAGGTTTAACTCTAGCACCTGCCGAACTCTTTGCATCAAGCGCACTTTCTCAAGCGAATAGTATAAATCCTTAATCAGATAAACTCCTTTGTCTGCAACAAAGGAGTTTATCTGTAGAGTGTGGTTGGGAAAAAGTTCCGTGGGTACTTAAAGGCTGTTTGAGAAATAAACCAGTTAGCTGAGTTTGAGACGTTCTCTGTGTCTGTTCCTTCTACTGAAAGTTCTTCCGATTTCTTCCACCGCACTCTCAGGTGTAATACGACATGATTACATAAAACGTCTTTTTTTTTTTTTTTTTTTTTTTACAAAAGAAAACGACGCATTGTTCAACGCCTATTCTTTGTCGAAATGTAGCGCTAGCGGTTCATACCAGATTCCAAGGTCTAGAAACTAACCGTCATCTTATTCAAAAGTTTATATTTTATTTTCTGAAAATTTCAGTGGGAAAATGCCACCCGTTTTTGGTAATTACCCGCATTCAGCTCCATGTATTCGAGAGCGCCGTTTTACGTGTGTTCAAAACTCCCATTAAAAAACAAATAAAAGATTTACAAGTTTTAATTTTTAATAAAATAGAGGTTAGTCTTGTAACTTTTGTGTCTGGTTGGGAGTTGGACCGCAAGAGCTATATTTTGGAGGAAACTAAGCGCTCGGCAATGCGCCGTTTTTTTTTGTTTTTTTTTTGTCGTTGTTTGTTTTTTTTTTAAGAAAAAAAAATACAATAGTTTTGGTACGCTTTGTACATCTTGTCAACGCCGTAGATACTCTAAGTACATCAGACCTCCTTAGCGCACTCTGAACGAGCAATGGCATTTCGGTGAGAGCGTGGAAAAAAACGTCCGCACGATCTGCCATCCGAATTCTGTGGCCCGGCACTACACAATGTCTCACAGCAGGTAAAGAGAGCCACAACTCCCAGTCTGCGTTTCTCAGATACAAAAATTTAAATCCAAATTTTAGTCCAGACTTTTTTTCAATTATGGTGTAACGGTGAGATAAACAGTTATGTCTCGCTCAGCAGGCCTTTTCTCGAGCACCGAGTGCACGCAGGTTGGTCCCGAGTCAACTCGCACAATCTTTGACACGAGACGCTGCAGAGCTCCCACTCCTGCTGACAAACGCATGCGGAGCACAAGTTTGTCTGCTTCTTGCACAGTGGTTGCGTTGATGTCAGAAAGCCAAGCTCTTATTGGCTGATTGCAAAAAAATAGTGAGTAGATCTCAAGGCATTTATAGCATTGAGGTCTACCCACTACCCTCCCAGTCATAGCCAATCAGAGCTCGACTTCGTTCTGACGTCACCACAACCCCTGCACAAGAAGCAGACGACTTGCTCTCCGCATAAAGTAGACCAACTCAGATCTCTGACGTCACGTCCGTGCGGTGGCGCTGTTTTCGGCACTGCGCATGCGCAGATACTTGGCATTCTGGTTTCTGCGCGCGGGAAATGCCCACAACAGGTGTTGGCAAACACGGGCTTGTTTATAAACAGTTCATGCTGGTCGGCGTGTTTCTATGTACCCACTGAGTGGATGAGAGCCGCGTGGAGGTCCTTCCCTTGTCCCACTTGGAGCGCGAGCTTCCGACCTTCGATGGTGCTCGAGATCACCAAAGCACGGCGGAAGGCCGTGCTTTGCCTGAGCTCGAGCTTGTGCCGGAGGTCGGGCAACCGAGAGAGACGCCTGGTTGTTTTCATCCTGCCAGTGACCATAGTCTGCGTGAGTGTTTGCTCGCGTAACGTTCTGCTCGACTACCGGTCGATGTTGGCGCGTGCGCCGCCAACATCGACCGGAGGGACCAGAGGGAGATTCGGTCCAAAAGGAGCACACTTCCTGACAGTTTGCTCTCCAAGTGGTGTGGCGTCCAAACGCGCCAACCTGAAAATGAAAAAAAATAAAAAAGGAAGACGAAGAAGAACGCCCTGGACTAGCTAGCACACACGAGCCGTCGGCTCTCTCGCCGCATGGCCGTCCATTTTTAGCCGCACCCCCGATGCCTTCCTTGCCCAGGGGAGTCTCGCCTACGTGCGGCGTGCAAAAGAGTCAGCTGACGCTCGCCGGTGGCAATCCCACGGGGAGCTCTTCGGCAAGTCCGTCCGTCCTCGGCGCTCATCTTCTCGCTCTGTCCTTCTTCTTCTGTGCTGAAACACTACGCCCGGATTTATACACCTCGATCCAAGACAAAAGTTTCTGCGAGATATTTTTTTTTCGTGAGGCCGGTGTTGTCCTTTCTTGTGGTGAAGTGGGGAACCTGAGGTATGATCGGGGTCCTTCGCCCCGACAGGATACACCGCTCGTCGTCGCACCCGGGACGCAGCGCAGCATGAAGCTGTGAGTTCTCCTTCCGTGTGTACACCTCCCAAAGTGTGAGCCATGCGCACCGTTCCATGAAAGGGGCTGGAACGGCAGCGGCCGTTTTAGAGTCACTTAAAAGATGAGAACGGTAGGGCGTTCATTTCTAACGCCCGGCGTCCAGCAATTGACGCTCGTTGCATTTCGCTGGGCGGGCGTACTGGAGGAACGCGATTCGCCGAAGTGTTACCGAAGGTATACGAAGCTTGCGCTGGAGTAGGAACGGCTGAAACTCCGTCATGCCGTTCTCATTCTGCCAGTGACTACGGATGTTGGTGCCTCCGGGAATAGCGTCCACCGCTTGCCGAAGGGGTGTCTATTGCGGTTATATAGATGCGTCAAGTGGCTTCTAGAGCGAGCGAGGATTACACGGCGACGACTCAGGCCTCATTGAGACGAGGTAGTGAAGAGTTATATTGGCTGTAGTGTCGACAAGTTAGCTGCAAGAAGTCAAAGGGAGAAATATTTTAGTGAGCGCCTTTTTTCGTTTAACTTGTATCGACCTCGTCTCGTTCGGCGCCTTTCCTACACATCGATACGAACGAACTTCCCCCAACTATCTTCTCTGCTGGAGAAATAGTAGTTTCAGTGTTCGTGCTCGATGGGCTCAGTATAGTGAAGAGCTTGGGGCGTAAATGTCTATATTTTGAATTTGAGTGCTTGTCTCCAAGACCAAGGTAGGCACACATAGCAGAGCGTCTGTCCCTCGTGTATTTTCTGTGTTTTTATTCTTTCAGTGTGAACCAAGGTAGGGTTGGCCCAGTTGGTCAGGTGTTCATTTCGTGGTTGCGTCTTCGAATAATGAAACTTATACGGATCGCTGTCCTTGTGTCGTGGGTCGCTAAACAAGAAGAGGGAACACCTGCAAGTAGTGGGTAGCCGAAGT